AGCGGAATAAATATATCAAATATTTTAATGGATTTTTTAAACTCCTGTCAACTATACAGAACTATCGTAAAAACATACCAGTAAATTCTTATCGGTTGGGTTAAGTTATAAATCTACTTGCTATTCACGTAATCGGCCAAATATCTAGCAGGCGGGCGGCTAACAGCCCAGAACCGGTCGTGGATAGAATTGGAAGCGTTGTATGTGTAGCATCAACCCAAGGTCGTAGGCTTCCACTAGCTAAACCGGGTGAGGTTGGTGCTCCGTAAAGCACATGCGCAAATCTGGCTTTTTGGATGCTGACAATACAGCACTTCCACTCTGCCACTAATATTCGAATATACAATAGCAATCTTATCTTTTTTTCACATGTAGTTTAGAAATTAATAAGATACATAATGCGGTTATAATTAAATATTGTGCGATTATTTTCATATAATTAAAATTAATATGTATTTATTTTTTAGAAAATACAAGGGAAGTGGCGCATCCACCGCTTCTAATTACGGCACGCCACTGGTGTAAAGATATATTCTTGTTTGTTATTATTAAAGCTAGAAATCTAGACACTAAAATCCATATGTTACAATTTTTATAGCTATTTATATGATCTTTAGTGCCTAGCTTATTACTAGAGATCAAATTTGGTAGCAATTACTACTTTCCTGATAACATTTCTACTGGACATAACTCCACAGCCCTTCTAAATAAATCTTATTTTACTACTTTTTGCTACTTTTGATTTTTTTTCGTTGAATTTTTCTACAGGAAACTTGTAAATTTTTGTATTTCAAATGTATTCTTGCAACAAAAAGGATTAACATTGCAGTTTACCAATTGACAGCACTAATTTCACTAATGTTAGTGCAAAGTTGCCAAGTCTAGTTATCTCCCATAAAGTAAATAAAGAGCAGAGATTACACTACCACTCTTTTACATTACTGCCACAAATTTAGCCAGGAATTCAATATGGCCATAGTGTATTCTTTGGACAAGTTTCTTAAAAAACAAAACAATATAAATTCATACAAAATATGTAGAATACACATGTACTCACTCTGCTATCAGACTCTTAATGAAGACATAAAAAGAAAAAAAAGAAAATAAAATAATATAAATAAATTATTCAGTAATTTGCTTATAACTGTGCTGCAATGTCTGAGTGGCATCTTCAATGAATGACCATCTTTGACCTTGATCTATGGAGACAGTTTATTGCACTAGCTCTATGTACAATACTACTTACTCTATGATATAGCGAATTTAAAGTGTGAAAAAAAAAGAATATTTTATATATATATAAAATGGTGTCACACCATAAAATTAATAATGTATTAACATCAAGTTATTATTAACATGATATTATTTAACATAACTAAAATATCTGCAAAAACTAAAATATCTGCAAACTGTAATGTCAGAATACTTGTAATAGTGATCTGGCCTTTATAATTTCATATTATAGTTTTCTTATGAATATCATTAAAAATTTAGAAGTTTAGGAGATGACACTCAAACTTATCCAAGCAGTTCAAAAACAGTCATCACAAACTTCCAGAACAAAAGGAATGCTGTACTACAGTATAATGCAGTGCAGATGATGTAAGATTAGATACAGATTCAAATATCATTGCTGCATTTAAACGGTCACCTCTAACAACAGCTGATGTTAAGAGATCATTTCATTATATAATATATTGTGAATGAAAAATGTGATAGATTTACTAAAAAAAAAATGCATAGATATATATGGTGATTCACTATAATAGCACAGTAGAGCATCGATTATCTGACTCAATAGGGGACTGGGGTTGGTCGGATAATTGAAAAGCCGTATAACCGAAAAGTATGAAAAAATCCATTATTAGTGTAGTATATTATTATATCCTATGTAATTAGTATATCGCTATTAACCAACTTCGTGTTGAATTTTCATCGATGTTAAGCCTAACAAAAATTTTTTAAAATAATAATCGTCACTATTGTATTGTTAAAAATTAGAAAATTAAGCCTCGCTTAAATACTGGCTCCCTTTCATGGTCGAATGAGTGCTGCCAGTTAAAACACGTAAAAATACTATTAAAGTAGCCAAGACATAGCCAAATATTGTAGCGCCATATCACTAGCGGACATTTGAAATTTGCCGACTAGGACGGTCGGTTAATCGGGGGTCGGATAATCGAGGCTCTACTGTAAGTTACATAATGTTTTTTCATCCTACTTATAGTTCATCCTTATGTTATATTGTAATAACAAAAAATTATACAACACTATTACAATATAGCATTATGTTATATAATAATTTAAACCATCTTCAATTTTCCATCCAGCTGGCAATTATATAATAATTGCCAGCTTGATTGCTGAGGCAGTTAAAAAGTTAGTCTACCATTCTGAAAACTAGAAATAAATGTGGGAAGATCAAAAACTCATGAATTTTTTAGGGTTCATCATCACTCAGCTGGCTGAACCCACAATGGGCTTGAATAATGGTCCTCTTAAGGCAGATAACGTTATATATATGTAAATTATAAAAGCAGAAATTCAGAAATTTCTTAAATATCTATACAAAAGTCATAAAAGCAGAAAAAAGTAATGTGTATGTGTATATATATACATACACATACATACACACACACACACACACTACTTTTATGCCAAATTTGATTACTTACACGTACATGCACACACACATATATATATATGCATGCGTATGTAAGTAATCAAATTTGGCATTATATGATTTAATATTTATATACATAAAGCCAATTTAACTGCTGTTTAAATGTATCTAATGCATTCTAAATACAAAATTTATATAAAATAAATATAATTGAATATATGAATTATTAATGTTTAAAACATTTGCTTGAAAGTAATTTTTAATATTAAATAATTCATTTTGATAAAAACAACTTACTAACAAAAACAGCAATAAAATGTAAATATACACCCACAACTGCCGTTGGGCTAAATTTAGATGTAATGATTATAAATTAGAAATTCATTTCTAATTTATAATTTATAATCATTATATCCAAATTTCGCCCAATCAATTACGGCAGTTGTGGATGTATATTTGCTTAATATATTGGGTTTTGGTTGTGTATACTTGAATAAAATGTAATAAAATAAAAATAAATAAATAATAATGATAAGTTATTAGCATTATAAAATATTAAAATCATAAAATACTTACTTCCATTATCTACAAACCATCTGCGAGAATTACCCATTGGGTCTTGTTTCTTAATTATTCTAACAATGTCATCTTTTTGAACTGATAAATCTAAGATATCAGTTGCCACATATGAATCTCTAACTATGTACAAACTGTTTGATGAATAATGAGACTTTAGGTAAGTACGTTGACTTTCAGTCTGTTACAAAATTATAAAATAAGCTATTATAAGATTTTTACAAAATTAAAATTATAGAAAAAAGAAATTAACCTGAGTATTCAATGGTGATGAACCTAAACTTAAACGATGTGCAGTTGGTGATGTCTTCTTTGTCAATGTGTCAGTCTTCTTTGTTAAAGTATCAGTTTTTAACAAAGATGAATTACTTGCAAATATCTGGCGAATTTCAGAAGAAAAATCAGATAGTTTTGCAGATGCCAAATTATGTTTTACTTGAAATGTTTCTAAAAATTCTGTTCTATTACCAATGATCAAAGGAAGCTGAAAAAAATTTTTTAATATAAATTTTATATTTTCTCTAATAGTAAATTAAAAATTTCAAGTAAAATTAAATAACTACCTCTGTTAGTTCAATCATTTGTTTTGCAACACGCCCAAGAAAAGTTTTTCTCAATTGAAGGAAAGCTATTACACTGAAATTTAAAATTTCAGTAGATAATTCACATAATTTTGGTAATTCATCTAAAAGTTGACTATTTAGAGCTTCATATGTATTTTTCATCAACTGCTGTTCTTCACAAAGCTGAAGAAATAATTTAATGAATCATTTCATTTGAAAAACATATACACAATTTTTGCAATAATCTTGAAATAAACAGTATTTACTGTTTTCTGTTTAGTCACATCTTTGTTACGTTCTAATCGATTTGTACATGCTTCATAATCCAACAGTTTGTCATACCGCTTCTGTATCAAATTTCTTGGACCATTAAATGTTTGTAACAATTCATTCAGTGGATTTATTACATGCCTTTCCATTGATATTTTCTAATAATAATATTAATAAATAGTGAAATTATTGTAATTATTGAAATTACAGAAAAAAACAATATTGTACAAATCCTTAAATAAAAAAGAACTTACAAAATCTTCCCAATACTGAGTTACTATAATAAAGTGAGTTGTCCTCAATTTTTCAATTTCTTGTTGGGCATTTCTTTGTTGATAAAAGTTTGCAATATCTTCAGCCACATTTAATGCTGTCATTCTATAATCCTTAAGATATGAAAAAATAATGCATTTTTATTTTTATGAATTATATAATTAACTCTTAAAAAATGTATAAATTTCAGCTAAAAACTATTTTTACAAAAATAAAAAAATTCTCATAATATAATTACAATCTAATCTTTTGAGATATATTTTCCTTGATTAGTCTATACAGAAAATTTTCAGTAATTTAGTGTGATTTATTGAATAAAGATAACTCATTTAGTTTTGAAAAAAAATTAATGTGAGAAAAACATATTAAAAATTTTAATAAAAATAATGATAATGACTTTTCACATCATTAAAGATAAAAGAAATTTATCAAAATAAATTGAATAAGTCTTGATATTAATTAAGTAATAATTGTTTGAAAAATTTTTAAATTAATTCATTTTTTTAATCTTATTAGGAATCTGTTTTTTAAAGAAGGATTTTATTTAATGAACTAAGTCACATTGTTTACGTATAGTTACTGTTATTAGGATTTATAATTTTTACGTTTTTTGAAACTAATTTCTGATCATCATTTAATTCTTAAAAAAACAATTATATCATCAGTTCTTTTTAACATTTGAAATTATACACTTTTTTTTTTTTAATATTTAAATTAAAAATTTTGTTAAATACAAATTCTTGAATAAAGGTTATGATGATGAAGTATATTTTAAATTTAAAGATATTACAGCACTGCTGATTTAAAAAAAAATCAATTTAATTGATTTATATTTTTAGAAACTAAGTACTATTACAACAAACTTATTCACATAGGGCCAAATTGATTAGAAATGATTATTTACCAGTTTAACTTTTGTTTAAAAAATTACCTACTAACCAACTAATCTGTTTTTTCTCTCAAATTCTCACTTTTGAAACTAAAGTGCAATCATGATTTACCTGTGGAAAATTTTACACATAATCATGGAATGCATCATAAACTAGTTCAGTAAATACATTAAAATTCAGCAAAATGAATTCTGTGAAGATATATATATATATATAATCACTGATGTAATAATTTTTCATGTTATTTTTATGCAGATAAAGTAAAACTTTTTAAAATTAAAATAAAAGTAAATGAAATTTGAAATGAAAATTTTATGATGTATTGCATGAAAAAAAAACTACAAAATTCAATTAAAAGTTATCTATATAGAACAATAAAAAATGTAAGCAATCTGTAAAAAAATCAATTGCTGATGCAATTTTTTGATCTTCTGTTAGCAGTGAAAATACAGTATTGATCTTATCTATAGTATATTAGTTTAATCCATGCCTATAAAATTTACAGTACATTTAATCATAATAAAGTCACACTGCTTCAGAATTGTGTAAATTATAGTTAAGACCATGTAAATTATAATCATACTGTATTACATTTTTAGATTAGAAGATATTTCTTACAAATGAAATAATGAATAAATTCTCATTTTATAATTTACATGACTGATATGGCTGTGAATCTATTCCTCTCACAAAGGCACTGTTAAAAAGAAACTGAATTATTTAATAATAGTATTATGTATTTGAAAAAAATTTCAAAATAACTATAAATGAAAATTGCAATATAACATTAATTCTACAAATTAAGTAAATTTAACAATCAGTTAAAATTTCAAATAAAATCAGATTTGGAAAGAAGATAATGAAAAAATCCTTGTATCTCCAGATAAAACTATACATTTAGAAAAAATAAACCATTCATATTTACACTTTGAATGATCATAACTTTCATTTGTAACTGTCTAAGACTGTGTACTGTCAAAGTTCTACTGAAATTTAAATTGAATATTGTGTATATATTTTATGCTTTTTTTCAATATTGTTCACTTTTTGAAGCATATGAAAGTAACACACAAACTATGTTAGTTTCATATGCTAAATGCTAAGATGGTGTATATTTAAACAAATTTAAATTGAAGTGATAAAGAAATGTGCAAAATAATGGAAAATTTATATTTAAAATAATATATATTTCATTTCATAAATCATATTTGAATCATTTTGAATGTTACTATCACTGACATAATTTTGTATTAGGTTTTCATTTACACTATGTTTGAAGTGATTTAAATTATGATCTCAATATTTATAAAATTTTCTACAGTAAGATTTTGTGAATTATCTCTAAATAATTGTACATTTTGAACAATTCTTAATATAACCTTGATAAAAATCAAATAATTCCTAACTAGTTAAAACTTTAAAATGAAACATTTTTCAGTTATTCACAAATTTAATTTATACATTTAAAACTTACTTGCATGCTTTCATTAAAAGAATTAACATCTTTCAGGAATATTTTAATTGTTTTCTCAAGACTTCGAAAAGTTTTCTCAGCATCTTCAAACATTTCATCTTTTGTCTAAATTTTATATATTAAAAATTTGTATATATTTTTTTTTGAATTATTCAAATGTTATCACAAATTAAATGGTTAAATTAAAACATACTACAGTAGTCAAACCAATTGATGATGACAATCTCATACCAAATCTTGATGACTTTTTCAAGATAGAATGAATAGTAAATTTTGAAATCCTTGTAGATAAACTTGTATCTGCAGATTTTCTATATTTGAAAACTAACAACGATAAATTTTAGTTTTTAAAACTTGTTAAATAATTTACATAATAATCTATAAACAAAATATCTACCTAAATCTTTACGACGTTTGAATTCATTAATAGCAGTTGCAACATCTGTCATTAAGTCAACAGCTTTACTGAGTAGTTTTTTATCTAAATGAGAATCTTCAGTACACTGAAATAAAATTATTTAAAATAAATTTTAAAATTTATTAAATTATTTTAATCTAATAATTGAGCTAACCTTAACTAATTCATTTAAAAGTAGAGGATATTTAAGTATTCTTTGNTCGAAAAATTGTATAGTAATTTAAAATTTCTTGAGAATAAAAAAAATTATAATTAACAAGTGTTTTTTTGATATCTGAAAGTCTTTGCAATACCATGCCTCATATTACTATAGTTATAAGTTACTAAAGACTACATTGCTATCATAGGATTCTGTTGTGACAAAATTTTTCAAGCTCATTTTTTGTAATAATAAATTTTGCAATATAATTTAATAAAGCTCTGTAAATCTGTGTAAACTTTATACTAAATTACTGTACTGTATATCCATCTTCTTGTTTTCCATGTCAGTGAAGAAAACACCCAAAAACTCTGACTTTTGTAAATTCTGACCACCTTCACCCCCTATCAGTCCAAATTAGCAGAGCTTTACTGTATTTCATTAATTTTTATATGTTTATGATAATATATAAAATAACTTTTCAAAATACCAATTAGTTGAT